CCCGCGCCGGGGAGGAGAGCGCGGCCCGGGCGGCGCCCGCTCCGCGGAGCTCTACGAGGCCGCGAGGGGGGGAAAGCGCTTCCCGCCTTTGTCTCCGAAGATCCCGATTCCAAAGATCCCGGGGACAGGCTGCGCCGGGGCGGACTGAAACCCCGCGTGCCCCAGCCAAGGCAAGTCCAAGCGTCTGCGCAAAGGACACGCTGCTCAGAGAAAAGCACGGGGTGCGCTACGGAGAGGCGCTGCAGTGTAAAAAATAGTTTTTTTTTTTTTTTAAAAAAGATTTTTACTCGTTCTATGTTTCAGAGCATTGCACTTCCGCCCTGCTAATTAAAAATGGGGTCAGACAAATTGAAATCCTGAAATCCCGAAGCGTAAGCACTGGAAAATTTGGCTTCATTGAATTACAGTGTCAGTCTGGCTGAAACACAGAAAGGAAATAAAGCATAAACAGTGACATGCAAACGGGGCTTTAAGGCTATTTGCTTTTTCTAATCAAGGGTTGGCATCTGCAAACGCGCAGCATGTGCTGCAGACCTCGTGCCGACGGCGCAGCGTCCCTGTGCCAAGACTAGGCCCGGCCGCAGGCTCCGCTGCACCGGGACGGCCACCGGCCCTTCCCCGAGCGCTCTGCGGCCAGCGCGGCCAAACCCACCCACGGGTGTTTGCACAGTTTAGTCCTATCTCAGGATCTGGGGGGTTTGGGTTTTGTAAGGTTTGCTTTGGAGCATCTGCAGCCTTTCTGTAGGTACACGCAGATGTGTAGACGCTGTAGGTGCACTGTGAGGAAAGCATCTACGTAGGTTATGTACTTTATCCCTTCCTGCTCTTTGAAGGAGCCCCAAAGCAGCAGTCTTAAATCTTGCTAGCTACTGTAAAAGCCTCCTTTATTTTTGCAACGCGTCCTTATATGGCTTTTCATTTGGCTTCTTATTGTTGCTGCTTTCAATTTTATTTCAAACTATTGTATAGCATCCAGAGCCATTAGGGGTAGTTTTATAAATACAATTAATTATCATTATTATTATTACAACATTACAATCTCTCTTTTCTTTTGCCAAAATCTGCTCCCTAGAGGTGATTCAAAGCAAGAGGAGTTTTGTCTTGTTTTTATTTGTCCTGCCTTATCTGCCTTAATGAAGTATTTGGGCTCTTTAGGGCAGGGAAACTGTTTTAAGTCTGCAGCCCTGAACTCCAGACAAGCCTATGTGGCTATATAAATACTCCGTTGTAAAAAATAACATTTATGGTCACAGTCAATTTGTCTGACCCCGTTTTGAATGAACAATGAACCAAAGATGCTCTGAAACACAGAGCAAGTCAAAAGTACTGCTCTTTCTTAAAGAACCAGAAAATAAAATGTGGAAACAGCTGTGCTTGTTGAACACCACCACTAACCTGAGCGTGTTGCTATGCAGACAGAAACCACAGTTAAGCCCCGCAGATGGTTGCAGGTCTCGTCCCCGCGAGTAGCAACGACCCCACAGCTGAATCGCAGCGGCTGTTTCTGAGCTAGTCGGATAGATGAGACCTGAGGAGGCAGAAAGACATCATGGGGTTTTTAATAAACACTTTCCTGTCTTGGAGGGATCCCTTGGAAGGATGCTGCCAAGCTGCATTTTTCTTACTACTATTTTTTTTTAATACTGCAGCCCCTTTAAGCAGTAAGTACTGTGTTTTTCTCTAAAAAGTGTGTCCTTTGAGCAAATGTTTTTATTTGCCTTGATTTGTTTCCCCCACGGCCAGTGCTTGTTAGGGTCTTTCTGCAGGAAAAGGACAACAGACTTATTCCAGGAGAAAGTGAAACTGAGCGGGCTGCAAATGTTGCCAAACAAGCAAAGAAACCTGGGGGGAGAGGAAGTTTTCATCAGCAGCTTCCTCCGGTTCCTGGATTTTAATGGAAACTAGTGAAAGTACCAGATTTTTAGAAAGAGCTGGTGGAATTGTGTTAAAACTGCTGTGGATGAGTACATTTAAGCACAATTCCAGTGCAGTTAATAAGGCTCAAGTGACATCTACTGGCTAAAGGCTGCATGGTTGGGATTTGTATCTGCAAAATGAGCATTGAACCAGACTGGAGAGGAGCCTGAACCCCACAACGGGTCAGACGAGTTTTCAGGCTGAGCAGAAGGGCACCCAGCACCTCCCCAAAATCCGTGCTGTGCCCAGGCCCTACAGAGCGTGTGGCTCTGCCCACAAAACCAGGCTTAAGGATGTGTCCTGCCCAAAGCGGTTAGGGGCACGAGCAGGAATTGCAAATTGAGAGGGGCTCGTTCTTCCTGCTGCATTTGCAGAAGCTCTTCATGCTTTGATGGTTTGTGCCCAAAGTTGATGAGATGAAGGCGTGGTGATATGTGCTCATCAGCTTGAGCAAATTAAACCCAGGGGATCAAAAAGAAGAAAAGCAAAGAAAGGTATGTTCAGGGTGGTTTTTAAAGAGGAGGGCCTGAAGTGCCCTGAAGCCATAGATTAAAAGCAAACATAAAAGAAAACTCCTTTCTACCACCAGCAGAAAGCAGCAGTCTGGTTAATCTTGATGTTTAGGGAGGCAGTGCAGCAGGAGCAGGATGAATTTGGGAACAGTCACATGGGCTGTATGTGCTGACAGTGGCTCTGAGCATGTTTTCCTATGATGCAGTGCTTAAATAAGAACTAATTTGATTGCAAAACAACTCTTTAGTTTTTAATTTAGCTGTACCCTGAACTCCAAACGGCGCAGGGGGGAGTGGATTTTCCATGGCATCTGGACAGCAGCCAGCAGCAGGGTCCCCTAAAAGAAAGGGGCACTCTTCAAACAGTTAAGCACTTAGCACGAATCCTTTGTGTTCTGATGTTTTTTCTTATTTGGTAGCTCTTAATTGTAATGGTTCCAGACATGGTACATTTGTGGGGTGTATTATAGCAACATCATGTTGGCTGCGTTTCAGCATATGGACACACATATCGGGCAGAAGCTCTGGATAGTCGTCCTGCTGGGAATCTGCAGAGAAAAGGCCTCATCCTGCTCTCCTGATGCTGCAGGCAAATGCGGTGACCTCCCTTCGACTGGATTGACATCAGCCCCACTGTGAAGTGCACTGGGTCCCAGCTGCTGAAAGCAGCTCTGGCAGGGCAGGCCATCTGTGTGCTCCACATGGCTGATAGCCCGTCACACATTAACTCCCTGAAACGGGGCCGTGTTAAGGTATCGGACTTCCCAAACACTGCTCCAAATCCATTGGAGGTCCACGCTATGGAGCTGCTCTGGAGGAATTTGACCCTTCAAATTCTTGTAGCTGGTGTTGCAATACAGTTACCATCCGGAGGGATGAGGGCAGCTGGGTTCAAGGCTAGCGACACCTTTGACCCTCCTCATCTGTCTGATGAGCCCGGATGGATCTCGTGGGGTGGCTGATGAGCTCCGTCCCCCATCCTGGGTGGGAAGGAGCAGCTTCCCTGCCCCCTGCGCAAGCTTGCGTGATTCGCATCCCCATCGGCTCATCCAGGGAGGCTGGAGCACCACCAGCTCCAGCGTTTCTGCAACAAAACATCCCCGCTCGGCAGCGGCGTCTCAGGATACCCCTGCCCACCCATCAGACCTGGCCCTGGCTGCCTGCACTGCTTCCCTGAGAGCCACGTGTGACCACAGATACCCAAAATAGCCCCTCTAGAAGCAAATCCTTTGACTTCAAACAGCAGCAGCAAAGCCCTTCAAGAAAAGGGGCTTCAAGCACAGCCTGAAGAGCCAGGTTTTTGTTCTTTCCTATGTCCTTTTCCCCGGGTTTCTGGCAGATTCTCTCCTCCCTCTTTGCCAAGCCAGGGCATTGATCTCAGCAGGATCACAAGCAAACTTCAAAAGGACTCACACTTGCCCTGCCTGTCGATGGCCACAAATGGCACCAATCTGAGCCTTGTCATTTCTCTTCCTGCCTCCGTGTGAGATAGCGGCGGCCACAGGAGCCCTCTGGCCATCACGCAGCTGCGATGCACATGCATCACCTGAACACTTACGGCAAAAAAAGCCTCAAGGGTCTGAAACATTAATATGTCTGACCTGAAGTGCCTGAAAACACTGGCCCTGTATGTTTCCATCCTGCAAGTGACCTTGTCCCATAGGGACCAAACCAGAAAGGAGACAGTCCCCCAAAATGAGCAGGAAATCAAGGACCAGAGCGCAGCGGCATTGGACACCTTTATCCTGAGATGCTCTGATTTCGTCAGCACCCATCAAATCAGTGCAGATATGTTTCACCATCACTATTATGCAATTCTTCTTGATGTCATTTTATACTCAAAAGGGCAAAGAGTGCAAGTGAACCATTAACGAGACTTTACATACCTGCGTGGTGACATCACACGTGCAGGACACCCAGGCATCACTTGAGCAGCTGTAAAACCAAACCTTGCTTTCCACCGTAGTTTTCCACACGTTGGAGACAGATTTGGTTACAGGTACTCCGATACGAGCACCTGCACTTAGCATTTCACTAGGATTTCACTCCTGTCACAACCCAAGCTCCTGTGTGGCCTCTTCTCCATGGTGGACATGGGCAGCCTGGCCTGGGGATGGCGGCTGACCCTCATCGGGCTCCTTCAGACCTTTGATCCGCTGTGGGGGCAAGGTGGCTCCGGCCCAGGCCCCATTCAGAGGGACATCCTGGCCTTGTGCAGGGGGATCCCGGGGTCTCATGGGGGGACCCGGAGATGGGGGCAGCCCACAATGATGCCCGTGGCACAAAGAGAGCCTTTAGGCCCTGGGGGATGTGGGGAGGAGGCCCTGCCCTTGGACAGGTAAATGTTGGCACGAGAAAGCCTGTTCTTCCCGCAGAGACCTCCAGACACGTCACCCCCGCAGAGCCCATACCCCCAATGCAGGAGGTACAGCCCATAGCCAGCACCCTGGGTCCCCGGTGCTGGCAGCAGCGTCCCTGTCCCTGGGCTGCACACGTGGGGACAGATCCACAGCCTTGATGCCCCCAGCACCACCAGGTCGGATG